AAAGGCCAAAAAAATAACTTATAAAAAAAGTTATATATATGATAATCTCAATATAGCCATGTGCAAATCACAGAAGCTGCAATTTTTTTATAAAAGATAAAATGTGAGACAAAACAGCACAATAATGAAGTACTGTAGTGCTGCAGAGATCCGTCAGTAGGACCGACATTGTCATCCATAGAGCCACAACTCAAAAATGGCTAAAAATAATACAATAAAAAGTCACAAAAAAAATGTAACTATGAAACAATGTTTTAGGAATTTCCCCACCTTATGTAGGGCTTGTTGGACGACAGGAACATCGGCCAGCAGACTGGACCAGTCCATCTCTATCTGTGTGAGCTGGGAGTGGATGGAGCAGAGATCTGGGTCTGAAGTCTGACATAGAGAAGCCTCTTTGTCCTCTAGATTTCCATCTGAGTCTCCATCTGCCTCCCTCAGCTGGACCAGCTGGGCTCCAGCATCGATTACAGCCACCTTCAGTCCAGATTTGGCTTCTAACTCTTTGGTCAAAGCCTGAAACAGAAGTGGTGTGTTATATCCTGTTCTCCATGCTAAATACAGGCTAAAATATCTGTCATTTTCAACCCCCTTTTCAGCCTGTACCAACTCTGATTTTGAACTATTTGCCATTTATAAGTACAGCCGGGTGGCCTAGAAGCATTTAAATCTGCAGTGTGTAGGAGGTCCTGATAACACAATAGTTTAACAGTTTACTGACATCAAAACTAGATGATCTATTTCTATTCAGGAATCTGAAGGTCAACAATGTGCACAAATCTTTATGATTGCTGTATGAAAGATGGTTTGTTATTTACAGTTAATGAGAACTCACTACAAACTGGAAAAAGTGGTTCCGCCTCTGTTCCACATCCATCTCCTCATTGGCTGAGACAGAGAGCTGACTCCATTTGTCAATCACCTCTCTGGCCCCACCCATCCAGTCAGCCAGTACAGCAGAGTCACGAAGGAACCTGTTTATTGGTGAAAGTTTGATTAACAAATCTACAAATCTACAGTGTGAATAATTCATACAATTACATAGATTTTGGGGCTTTAACACTTTTTCCAGATGCTTTTTATTAGATGCAGTTCGCATTTTATTCTTAAAACGTATTTCATTTGACTATTTTATTATGTTTTGATTAGATTATAACCCACCTTGCTAAACTTCTATACCATGAATAAAGGAAGGAAGATTTCCACCAGTCAATAATATGGAGAAGACTACTTTGCAGTGTAAACGTTTTCTCTCTTTCTCATCTCTCACCTGCTCCTCAGCTTCCTGTTCCAGGCTACGTTGGTGCGTTTGTGCTCCACCTTCTTGTGCAGGATTCTCCAGCGTGCCTCCAGCTGGGTGGTGGACACACCCACTTCTCTACAGCCCGCCATCTGCAGCCAGAACCCAGCCTCCAGCATCCGACTGAACCGCGCCTTGTTCCCGTCCAGAACGCCACGCAGCTCCTGTCAGAAACACACACTTTCTTCAACAAGAGCTCATACAGAGAAACATTACATGAGCCTACATGACTCCCTACATTTTATGACATCTGACATGTTAGATAGCTAATGCTACCAGTTAGTGTATTTTATTTTATTTTATTTTATTATGACTAAACTCCATTCAACAGTTTTAGTCTAAATACGTTTATCACTTTCACTTTTACCATTTGAATGTAGCATATTTTAATTTTACATAAAAAAATCGGGGAAAAAAATCATGTTGCACAAGCTACAGCTGAAGCTAATTTGCAATGAGTAAACAAACAAACAAACTTGTGTGTGTTTAGCACAGAGCTAGTGCTGGGAGGTCATTAGCCTAACTTTGCATAAAGACTGGAAACAGTGGCTCTGTCCAAAGTTAAACAATAGGCTGCTGCATGTTTAATCTCTACACAGCCACAAATAAAGTTAAGGTTAGTACAGCTAAAGTTGATAAAGTACATGAATGCTGAGCTTAATTTAAAACTGAGCACGAGTCTGAGATGTTTTAAAATGGCTGCTGCAAGAGCCTCAATCCCTCAACGCTCTTCTTCACAGTCTATTTTCAGATGAATCAGAGACACATTTCCAATCCCACAGCAGAACCAGAATGAATTCTAGTCGGAGGTCTCAGCTCGGCTAATAACTCACATCAATGCCAAGGAACATCATGTGCTCCAACGGAAAACAACCCCTTGTATTTAATTGAGTAAATTAGGTGTTGAGTGCAATACACAAAGTACAGCATAGAGAGCAAGTCCCATAGTCTCCAAATGAGCAGAATGGAACATTGCAAAATGCGCTGTCTAGCCTCTGGTCGGCTGCCTGTCGGTAAATCAGTATGACGGTCAGAAAGAGCACATGTATTAATAAAAATTACCTGGTAGACAGAGAGCTTCTCTGATATCTGCTTCTCAGAATCACCCCCATCGTGCATCTTGGGAAATGAAGTGTCAATGCCTCTCAGCACGGAGTCTGACCAGGCACTGTCCTCTTCCCAATGTGACCACATCTGAAATAGATGGAGAAATGATGACAGTCAGGAGAGATGTCACTGTTCATTAAAATCAGTTCTGTGATTGTTTTTTAATGATTCTTCTCATTCCTGATGGCACCTGTTACACACGTCTTAATGTAAAAATATCCCAAAAAGTTACAAATTAATTTGGATGAACTTTGGTGAACAGATCTATTAATGACCCAGAAGTGGCATTTCTGATTCTGAAGATTGAACCTTTTCAGGGATGAGAACCATATTATTCTACATTCATGTACAATGCATCAACTCTCTTAGATACCATTTGGCAAAGTAACAAAACTATGCTAGCAGCTTTAAGGCACAGTGGTGCTTTGAGCTAAATACTAATGTGAGCACATGTATTGGTGCAGTCCATCGGTCCATCCAGAAATTTAAGCTGGAACGCCCCCCCTGAAGTTGGATTTCCAACTAGGAAAGTCGTAGGAACCTTACCAACTGCTGTGTGAAAGTTGCAGTAATATTCTGTTTATTAGCACTTCTATCTTTCATGTCTTATTGATATCATACACACAGTTCAGTCAGCGAACTCACGTTTGAAATGTTTCCTAATTAAAGCAGTATAGCCATATTTAGATTTTGGCGTCTAGGCTCCGACCTCCATCACTCCCCGCAGATATGTTGACATAGAGATATTGGGAGTGTGCCAAAATCCTTTAACCCCCAGTCGGAGCCACAGGTGGATGCTGGTGTGGTGGTGGGCTTACAGAGCAGCATGCAGCAATAGCTTTACAGAGCAGCAGCAGCAATACAGATGCAGGGCAAACCAGCAGCATTGACAGAGCAGGGGAAGAGCTGGGAAATTGTGCAGTTTAAATAGACCGCCAGATTGGAAGGGTGCGCTTGGTTAGTGATTATGGAATAAGGCATGTCATGTGTGTAATCAGCGCAGCGTTGACTGCCTGAACTAGCTCGCAGGCTTCGCTCCATTACTGTCCGACTTCTGTCTGTGGACATGTTCATATGACCAAAACACAGTGTAATGCATTGCTAATGGCTAACCTAGAGCTTGGTTTTCCGACTTGTTGTACTGGAAAACAGCCAACTCGGGTTTCAGTCCCAGCTCCGACTTTGGACTTGAGATGAATGGAACACACCATATGTTCCCAGGGTCCTAAGTTCCCTAACCCCCTAAATATAACACCAACACTTGAAATGAAAAGCCCTTACAGAAACCATTAGGAATAGTCCACATTACCATATATACTATACCTGTACAGTTTGTTTTAGAGCTCAGCAATGTGGACTGTCAGCCAAGCCGCCATCTTGAAAACCCCCATGGTAAATACATGAACTTATTTTCATGCACTACCTGCAATATTTCCTCCATCCTGGTCCCCTTCTCCAGTCCGTGCTGCTGCAGTCGGGTCACCTCATCCTGCAAGGCCATCACTACACCTTCCCACCTTTGGAGGGCGCTCTCTGGGAGTCTCTGGGTCAGGTACTGCAGATTCCTAGAATGATGGCTCAGGAACTGGAAGAACTTCTGATAATAGAAAGGGAGAGCAATGTTAGAGATGATATTTTTAAGCAATTATTTTCAGCACTCGAACCTTTCTGTGCAGCGCTCAGACTGACCGTGTGACTGTTGAGCTGCTGCTGGAGCTGAGCTCTGTTGTGGAGCTCAGGCTGCTGTGCGAGGCGTTTAGAGCCCAGAGCGAGCAGCTCCTCCAGGCTGTGGACCAGCCGCTCGTACTGCTGCTGCAGCTCCACGCTGCTCTTCAGCTCCTCACAGCGGGAGCGAACACCGCCCAGAGAACTGTCCAGCTCACCCTGCACATACAGGGGACAGACAGTTTCAAGATTTAAACATGCTTGTGGCCAGAGTTCTAAAACCCTAAAATGAGTTCTCTCTTGTCTCGGAGCCAATAGGTTTTTTGATTGGGTTTTTGGATACCTGAAATAAGTTCTGTATTTAAATACCTTACTCACAAATTTTAAAGCTTTTACATCTTCATAGGATTTACTTGGATTGTCTTAAAAAAGGCGGCTGCTAACGAAGTGGCTAAATGAGACCACTGAGGTTTTTGGGGAAAATAAACGTTAGCATGCCGAACACTTAAAGCTTAGTGGTGATGTTAAAGTCATGTGAGCACGGTGTAGTTAATTTATAGCCTAATATTAGCTTTTTACTTCTGGCTAACATCTTTATGCTTCAAAAAGCATAAAAGTTTTGTTCATTTGTGAAGATTATCTATCTAAACTATAATCCAAAAAGTCCCATTGGCTTTTTGTTAAAGGAAAAAAAACTCTATGATCACCTATTTAGTATTATCTTTAAGAAGTCGACATCCCAAATGTCTTTGTGCTCATGCAAAGCAGATTTCAAAAACATGGCTAAATTGACCCAGAGTCAGAGACATGACCCATGACATATACCCGCTGGCATACCTGCAGCTGTTTGGCCTGGTGGATGAGAGAGGCCGGCAGGTTTTGTCGTTCAGCCTCCCCCAGCAGGGAGCTCACCTGCTCCACCTGCTGCTGCAGAGCCTCCTGCATCGGAACCACAGCCTGGAAAACAAACACACACAGGAATTAAAGCTTTGTGACTACATGTTAAACTTGTTAAATAGCTCGTCTGAATACATTAATTTGATATGTGAAGTCATTAACATCTGACCATACAGCTGGATGAAATTACTTTGTCTATTCTTCTCTATGCAACAGTATGCTGTTGTGTATAACCTCATAAAAACAGATCTATTCTTCTTGTTTTTCTGTAGGTTATATATAGGGAGAGTATCGAGAACTTGTACAAACCGGTACCGGTTCCTGACACTACCACCCGCTTTTGTCCAGAGGGGTCGCCAAAATCACCACAAAATAAAAGTTCCTTTTTGCAGCTTTAAATTATTAACAGCGTATCAAAATAGTTTCCGATTAATGTTCATATTTTAATCAATTAAATTCCTGCAGCTTTAAAACCCTCATCAGTTCGTTTAAGTGAAATATCTCCATGGAAACGGTACCTGCAGTTGTTCGTTAAGGTCCAGGGTTCCACTGAATTCATTAATTATTTGGTGAACAGTCGTCTGGTTAGAGGTGAAGGCTGCATGCAACTCATTTAGTCGCTTCTGTTGGTCAAACAGACAACTTATTCTTTACAATGTTGCATGCAAACAACAAGGGTTTTATTCAGGATAAACAGGAACATTTTATTTTTACTGCATTTAAAAAGTTTACAATTATACTTATAAATACAAATAATAATATGTTAGACACGGTGAGATATTCATTATACAGAGGAGGTGAGTTACTGTATAAATGATGATACAGGAACAAAACACAGCAGGACAACTCACACAGACCATAAACATTAATAAAATTACGATAGAAACTGGATTCAATATTTACTTGGTATCTCAGCGTGTTCTTGTGTGCAGTTAATCAGAGTTATTTTATGATGTCTGACCTGCTGCTTTGCATTCTCCTCCTGCAGGTTTCTGAGCTGCTTCTCTCTGCTGGTCAGTGCGGCCTGGACCACATGAAGGACTCTACACACATCATCTACACACTGCTGACCGCACTCTGACCCCAGGACACAGCTGACCTTTGACCCCTGAGAGGCCAGCTCGCTGCCGAGGATGGCCAGCTCTGCAGACAGACTCTGAAAAGGAAGACCCCATCAGAGTGACTCAGCATAATAATCAGCAAGTGGGGAGGAGAGAGGATTTTGTTTCCAACTTTAAAAAAATACTCTTTGCATTTCTTTTCTTAGTTTGTTTTTAAATTAAAACAAAGCAAAAATGTAGGTCTAACTTTTTCTCTTTTTGTTGTTTTTTTGTTTCTTGTTCTCCCCTTTTGTATAATTATAAATTATAAACCATATATTTTTATTATTATGATTACATTTTTGTGTATGTTTTCCTTTTGTTTATCTTGTTTTTGTTTGATTTCTTTTCACAGTTTTATATCTGTTGGGTTTATGTTGGTCTATTACTGTTATTTACTTTATTGTCTTCCTTTTTCTAAAAGACAATAAAGAGAGGACGAATCTGTCCCACCTGCAGCTGCGGCAGCCTCAGCTGTGTGTCTCTGTCGTGTGTCATCCCAGCCGATGAGTGCAGCAGGTTGTTGATTGAGGACAGGGACAGGGACGCTCCATACAGCACATGAAACAAACCCTCATCCAGCGTCTGATGGGAGCCGTCCACAGGGGGGGCCTGGAGTCAAACAGTTAGACAACTTATTTACAAAAATTTAAATTTTAGGAAGTTAAGACAGGAGACAAATTCATACTCTGTCAGACGGAGATATTGTTGCTTTTTCTGACTGCATTTTTTTGTCAGATGTTATTCAGCAAAGACGACGTGACGTGAGGAGGAAGAGGAGGAGGAGGCAGACAACTGTCGTCATTCATGTTTGTTGTTTCCTACTCTTCGTTTTGTGAAATGTGATGTCAAAATGTGTTTCCTGTGGTGAGCGGTGACAACATGCCGGGGTCAATCTGTGTGTGTAGTTTCATTTCCTGCTCACTTCAATTTGAATCCAAAGTCAATCAGAATTTTGTAGATCAAGAGATCTGCAAATAAGTCTTGGTGTGTTTTTTTTTTTCTTGTTGTTGTCGTTGTTTACGCCTCAATACAAGTAGCACAATTCTCTTCTAATACGTCCTTTATTTCACAAACTTTGGACTCTCTTGCTTTCATCAGACTGTATCTGTATTCGGTCTAACCCTGGACAATAAACTGAACTTCGATCATCACACCAGTGATCATCAACAATACGCTGGCCAAAAAGAGACTCTCTGCCATCCGCAAACTAAATGCACTTTCTGTGCCCCCAACTTCTGTTATGCTAGGTTTTCTATATTTAAAGCATAGTACCAACCCTGTCAGTGGCAACCTCGTTGCGTCTAACTAGAGTCCACATGCTTCTACAAATAGAGGGTAACTGAATCTAAAATAGGAAACATAGATGACACCAGCATATACACAACACTACCAACCTCCAACATCTGATGATCATTGCGGTACCTCCCCACCAGTTCCCCAAACCTCCTCACAGGAGACCCTATCAAACAATACTAATGGACAATTCACTCACATACGCAGAGCAAAAGAAGCACAGCGAGTATAGGCGTACATCGAAACCCAGCCACAACCCGGTCAACGAGATCCAGGATATGCAGACACCAGAATGCAGACTGGGTGAGGCGCTGAACATATTAAAGGCGTGCTTGCCTATGGCACCGTTGTTATGAATGATACCAAGTTCCTTAGCGCCATAAGCGATCTTGGAAAGAAGGCATCCCATTGTGACATCAGCGTGAGTGATGCAGTCGCCACAACACAGACAGTGATTCGAGGGAGGAGGTAAGGTGTGGTCTGCTGTATTACAATGTGTTTCTTGTTGTTTATGTCTTGTATTAATGTATGACTGTACAGACTGCGGTAACAAATTTCCTGTAAAGGATATTATTATTATTATTATTATTATTATTATTATTATTATTCATCTACATTTTTTTTGTTTTAGGCTTGTGACCCCTTCGAGTGAAACAGTTCCTAGTTTGTGATTTATGCTCATAGAAAATATGTAATACTGTCAGACAGAGTGGAATGAGATGATTTTACTTAATTTAAAGCTAATTAAGGGAGAAATTAAATGTTTCTTTGGCAACACCTGTGGTTGCTGTTGGTAACACTAAGAACATCTTAATAATAGAAGTCCAAGAGTTTGAAAAGATCAAAATGACACTTGCGGGAATGGTGGACTCCACCACTGACAATGCAAACGACTACTACTTGTTAAAGCTAGGGTCCCTCGGTTCTCGCGATCGCCGTAAATCCACATCCATGCTGACTCCAGTTTGACCTGTTGCTTTATCCAAATATTTTTTCTACTTATGTGTTTATTTTCTTGCTTTGTTTAGCAGTACAAACTAATGGTCGTCCAATATTGGTGTTTCAACAGCTGACGCCATATTTAGAGAGCAGAGCTGCTGATGGGCGATATATAATGCCAATATCAAAACAAAGAAAAGTAATGTATAATTCTATTCTATCGAAGGGGGAGCACTAACATTGTTCCACAGCAGCAACACTGACGAGACTGCCTGCAGATTTGTATAAAGATATGTTGTGTTTATCGACCGATTAATCGGTCTATCACGAGTACAAACTGTTGTAAGTAAAGGTGGAACTATGAATTTTGGCTGCTCTTTCTCTGCCATTCTTGTGCGACTAGTTCAGTGGCTTTAGCAATATCTGAATGGCCGACTTGTGGAAGACTAATGCGAAGTGAATGCAGGGGCGGAGTGCACAGAGGTAGGTCAGGTAGATAGAAAGGCCAGCCAATCATTTCAGTCAGTCTGAATGAATACATTTAATGGCTATAGCCATAATTATTATCAAAAATAAGGCTTGAAATGATGAAAATGTAGACATTTAAGGGGCTAATGATCAATAGACCCTCAGATTTATGTCATGGACACTTGAGGGGTCCTGGAACCGGCAATGGTCCAGGTGTCACATGTCACAACTTTCATACTCTCTGATAAACAGCCATGATAAAGACCCCTGTGTGCACCTGATTCAGACACTGTGTCGCTGTGTGTCCCAGCTCTCTCAGGTGGCTGATGTGAGTCTGGAGCTCTTTCAGGGTTTGTGTGCCAATCATACGTCCTGCTGTTCCATCACTACGCCTCGTAGATGAGTCTGTCACCTTCAGAGAGAAAGACAGAGAAAGTCACATACAAGTACGCAGAAAGAGAAGAGAAAAATCAGAAGTCAGAGACACACGCGACTCTCATTAAGCCCTGCAGGAGTCCCCATAACACCAAAGAGACAACAAAGTGCCTTCTGCTCAAAGAAGGTGATAATCAAGCATGGTGAGAACACCGATTTTACTTTTCTTTTTTGTATTTGAAAAGTGATAATCAAGCACTGCGGCTCTGACGATGAAGGCCTTACCGCAGAGGGAGGAAGCAGCCAACTCTCCTCCAAACCCAGCAGCCGACTGTGAAGGCGATCCCACTTCTTCTGAGCAGAGTCCTCCTCCTCATCAGCCGCAGCAGGAGGCGACCTGCAGGGAGAGAAAAGGCTGAAAATTAGCACTTCACTTCATCTTTCTTTCTTGCTTTTTTTTTAGCAGCCTTTCATTGGTGGAAGGCTGGAGGTATCGCTTTGAATCTTATGTCTGTTTTTTTTATATCTAATTGCACTGATTGGAAAAATCTAATAAATCAAAGAAGTTTTAGAAGATTTATTCTGTTTTTATTCTGTCCTGTTGTGTTAAAGATACTCACAATTCAAGTTAATTTGTACTGACTTTTGAAATAAAATTAAAAAAATATATATATGATATTCAGGACAAAATAAAAGCACAAAATAACTAATTAAAATGAAGACTTATTATCGTGTGGGAAAATTAAACTGTAAAGAAGAGATATAGAGCAACGAACTAAAATACAACATAACACAAGTGTATCCCATACACTATGTATTATATATAGACATATATAACAATATAACAGAGTGGTGATGGCGTGTGTTACCATGGTGACAGCTGGCTGCTGTCCTCAGGGTCCTGGCTGACGAGTCGAGTCCTGCTGCCCTGCCTGGCGATGGCCTGAGTCAGTCCTCTCTGTTCAGTCAGCTTCTGCTCAAACTCCTGCACAGCAAACAACAACGACAGTTAAAGGGAAACGTCTGTATCTTCCAACCTGGACCCATGTTTGTGTGTCTAAGTTACTAATAGGAACAACAATTTTTGAAATGAGTCCAGTATTGAGTGAGAGCGCTGCAGCCGGGGCCGTGAAACAGGCTGTAATGCCTAATTCTTCCACAATTCGTCTAAAAGCACTAACAGTTCTTGTTTTTGATGTTTTTGGTCTCAGGTTGTATTGAAAGTATCTGATAACATTATGGAAAGGATTCCTACAGAGATAGACCTTTTTGTTAAAGAGCAAGATCCTTTCTCTTTAACCAGAAACAGCCGTTGTCGCTCTGTTCAAAGCCACCAGACTCCATTGACAAAAAACAATAATTTTAGAAAAAGTTGAGTTTAGAAGTTGCTGGTCTAGCGCTGCCTCGATTGGTTAGTTAGTTTGTCTTATTGTGTGACTTTGGTGTTTTAACTGCATCCAAACTAACATGTTAAAACACAGGCCACACAGTAATACAGTAACACTAACTAACTGATTGGCAAAGGAAGACCAGCAACTCCCATGTTCTGGGAGGTAAAATTAATGGTTTTGTCAATGGGGTTTGGTGGCTTTGAACAGTGATATAACAGCTGTTTCTGGTTAAACAAAAAGGATCTTACTCTTTAACAAAAAGGTCTTTGCTACGTTGACTCTTGCTGGTTTCAATTCCAGAGCACAATGGAAAAATTGTCATGTCAGTCATGTCACCCACCTCTGACAGAAAGGACTTCTGACATGAGGTTTTAATGAAACACAGAGTTCAGGGTTTCATTGTCTGATGATGGTCTACTAAAGGGATTGATAACTCTTCACTAAAGCAGTCAGTAGAGTCCAGTACCTTTTGCTGTTGCAGGCTGCTCTGTCTGAGCAGTTTGTTTCTAGGTGAGGAGAAGATCTCTTGAACGCTGCTGCTGCGCTTCAACTGTGACTCCAGGTGGTGCTCTGGCTGAGGATCCGACTTCTGAGGACAAGAAGAGAGACAGGGAGGAAAAATAAGAAGCTTGATCTGCAGAAATTGAATATAATATTCATGGGTATGTTTTCATTAGTGTATAATGACTTTTTTGTTATCTTGAACAATAAAACATTGCTGGGACAGTGACAGGCAGGTGTCGGTCTCAGTTTCGTATAAAGCTCTACACCCGGCAGGCGTGGGGTTTTAAAGTTCAGCACTCAGACTTGACAGATTCGCATTTTGATTTATTCCAATTTCCCTATGAAGACTTGTGACTTGTTCCTCTAAAGACTTGAAAACTGCTTCACACCTGCAGGTATGAAACTAAACAGACCTGCTTCAATGCCGAGTGGGAAACCACTAATGATGTGCTTGTGAGCCTGTAATGGTTTATTTGCAAACGTGTTAATAATTATCAGGGAGGGACTTCACCACATGTGCACTGCCTGCTCTGCAGCAGAAACACCCTGTTAACTACATAAAGGAAAAGTGAAAGGAATGAGAATTTAAACTGGTGTTCGGTGGAAAAGATGATTTTTCATGTGAGTTTTTCTAAATTTAAATACACAAAACAAATTATAATTATGTATTATTTGTATTTTCACCACATCTTTCACTACTTTTCATGGTTCTGGTACGATAAAAAGAGTGATGTGGCACATCCAAACGTCATATAACCACATCAAAACAAAAAATGTGAGACACTTTTTTCTATACAAAATTGTCAAATTGTTTGAAAAATAAAAAACATGAGCGAAAATACAAATTTCCCCTTCAGACATGTTTCAAAGTATGCAAACATTCTCTGCTATGATTAATAATTTGTTTAACATAGTTTTCCCACATAAAAAGTTTTCTCCCTCATTGAGAAATTCTGCATCTATGAATGCCCCGCCCACCACCGCTGCTGGCTAGGTTGACCGGTGAAAGATGAGTGGTGTAGAAAAGATCTTTTCTTTCTTGTTTGTGTTTGTCAGCTTGTTAGCTTGTAACTGCCAGTGACTGACACAGCGTTAGTGGTTGTGAAGTGTGTAATCTCTGCCACAGTGTGACATTGTGCTCACACTGTCATGTTGTTATCGAGTAGTAGAAGCTCCAGGGTCCGGTTTACAT